TAGTATTCCATTGTGTGTATATATCATAGTTTGTTTATCCATTCTTCTGTTGATGGGCTCGGTTTAGGCTTTGAATAATCACCTTTACTACAACTTTACTACTATAATAGCCACATGAGGATGTAGGCACACTGAGCAGGTGGGGGAGATCTTTAAATGAACAACAACGATAAAAATAAATTTGTAAGGCAGGGGACAGACACAGAATTTTACCCCAGTGAACAACTTCCCCCTGAAAATTGTCTTCTCATATTCATGATCAAAAAAACAAAACAAAACACAAAACGATGAAAAACAGAAATAAGACTTTGTCTATCATGGACATGTATCTTACTCTGAAATAGTCTGGTTTCCATTGTCCCATGCTCGCAGTGTGTCATTGACTAGCTGCAATGTTTTAGGATAATCTTTTGTACAATGAAAATTCTGTGGGATGTAGGCTTACCAGGTGTTAGTTACTCTGTTACACATTGAGGATTGCCACTCACCCTCCAGTTAGATATAAAAGTTGAGTTCCATCAGTCCCCAGGGGTCATGAAAATGATGCGAAGGATCTTTTTCATTAGCCTGCCTACCATACAAGCTTGAATTGATCTATTTTCATTTCAAGATTGACAAAGAGAAAAAATTCAAAGTCTTATGTACTCATAAAACTATTTTCTTTAATAACTATGTACTTTAGGAAGTAGAAGAAATAAATAAATTAAAAAAGCATATGGCTGATATTTTCAATAAAATTACAATAGGATAGTGTTTCTATTAAATAAGAATGACTGTGATAAGGGAGCTCTGGTGGTGTAGAGCCTAAAGCATTTGACTGGTAACCAGAAGGCTGGCTGTTCAAACCCACAGCCAATCCTCAGAAGAAAGACTGGGTAATCTACTTCTACGAGGTACTACCTCAGAAACCCAAGGAGGGGTCTCTATGAGTCAGAATTGACTTGACAGCAGTGAATTTGGTTTTGGTTTCTGGTGATAAGGGGGAAGTGTAATGAAACAAAAAATTTGTTATTCCAGTAGAGATTATATACACATTACAGTGTAGCAGAATTGAAAATGTCAGCAACTTATACAAAGACCTACTTAATGAGAATTTAGAAGTAGAAAGGAAATGAAGAAAAAAGGTAGGGAGTACCAACCTGGATTTCTAAAATAAACTAATATATGCTATCAGAAAAGCAAAAGGAATAGAAATGTTCATTACGGATATAATGTACAGAGCAGATATCATATCCACATATAGTCTGGAGTCTGGAAGTCAAGAGAATTCTTCTGATTTTAAGCCATATAATTCCACTTAAACAAACATCAGCCAAAGGTGCATATTTAATATATGAATTTAAAGACATTTCCAATTTCAGGAAGCTCATTTCCTCTCAGGAATTTTGAATTCCATAAGAAAGTACGTTTTTCTTGTCTCTTTAAGCTGCATGGTCTTTATTTGTGTGTGTGTGTGTGTGTGCACGTGCATGCAAGTGAGAGAGAGAGAGAAACAGAGAATTGGCATAAATTTTCTCTCCTCACGTGGGTCATTTTTTTTTTTACTTCACTATGCATGTGGCCAGGTATAGAGCCAAGATTTCTGGAACCTGAAACACAAGGAATTTTAAGGGCTTTCTTTAAGAAAAATGAAGCAAAGTAAACTATAAAATAAATACTTACTTTGAATGAACAAAGAACTCATAATACAACTTTAAAAGCAGACAATATGCACAAATATTATAAAATTTTCAAAAATAACAATATATTAATGCATTTACTGCCTGGTATTGTTGTTGTTGTTATGTGCCATCGAGTTGACTGCTACTCATAGCAACACTGTGTACAACTGAATGAAACACTGCCCTGTCCTGTGCCAGCCTCACAATCCTTTGCGTACCTGAGCCCATCGTTGCAGGCCCTGTGTCACTCCATCTCATTAAGGGCCTTCCTCTTTTTCATTGACCCTCCACTTTACCAACCATGATATCCCTCTCCAGGGAATGGTCCCTTCTGACAACATGACCAAAGTAGGAGAGATGAAGTCTTGCCATTCTTGCTTCCAAAGAGCATTCTGGCTGCACTTCTTCCAGGACAGATTTGTTAATTCATTTGGCAGTCCATGATACTTTCAGTATTATTCACCAACACCACAACTCAAAAACATCAACTCTTCATTCTTCTTCATTCACTGGCCAGCTCTCACATGCATATAAGGTGGTTGAAAATGCCATGGGTTGCGTTAGGTGCACCTTAGTCTTCAAGGAGACATCTTGGCTCTTCAGCTCTTTAAGGAGATCTTTTGTAACAGATTTGCCCAATGCAATATATATTCTGATGTCTTGACTGCTGCTTCCACTGGTGTTAATTGAGGAGCCACGTAATATGAAATCTTTAACAACCACATTCTTTTCTTCATTTATTGTGATGCTGCTTATTGGTCCAGTTGTGAGGATTTTAATTTTCTTTATGTTGAGATGTAATCCATACTGCAGATTGAAGTCTTCAATCTTCATCAGTAAGTGCTTCAAATCATCTTCACTTTCAGCAAGCAAAGTTGTATTTTCTGTGCATGGCAGATTTTTAATGAGACTTCCTCCAATCCTGATGCCATCTTCTTCTTCATATAATCCAGCATCTTGGGTTATTTGCTCAATTTGCAGATTGAATAAGTATGGTGAAAGGATACAAGCCTAACACACTCCCTTCTTAATTTTAAACCATGCAGTATCACCTTGTTCTGTTTGAACAACAGCCTCCTGGTCTGTACACATTCCTGATGAGCACAATCAAGTGTTCTAGAATTCCCATTCTTCTCACTGTTACCCATAATTTGTTATGATCCAAGAGTCAAATGCTTTTGCATAGTCAATAAAACACA